GTACAGTACTATATTAATTGTGGAAAGCACTATAGAAATATTAGAGGCACTGTGTTCTTCACAAAGAACCATACTGTAGAAATGCTTTGTACCATGACAAACAAATATTCAATCAAAAATTTCAGTAGGCATGGTTTTAAATATTCTCTGTGTTATATTTATCGCCGTCCACAGATTTACACTTGAGTAGCATTAATTTCAATGTATTTATTTATGCAACAACAAACTAAAAATCATTTTAGGCCACATGAAAAAAATTATTAGTTCATCACCCTATCAAAAAATAAAAACTAATGTGGGAGGGAGGTTTTTTTTTTTTTTTGCCAAACCCCACCCCATTTTACCAATGTCACTTGTTCACAAGTAAATCAATAGTTTAAGGGACACGTATATAAAAAGTCATAAAAATGGAATCAAATTTATATTTACAAAAATATGTTTTTGTTGTACCAGTACACACATTTGCAAGAAATCCTAAGCTTTTCAAATGAAAAAAGATGGAAAAAACAGCCGTTTGAAATAAAAATATATGGCCTACTGTAGTTAGACTAGGTGGATAAACCCGGCTCAACTCACTGGGTTTATCCACCTGCCAGTCTGAACTAGGTGGCTTATCTCAAGCCGGGCTGTGTTCCAATAGTACCAAGGCCTGGCGTGCCACCACGTTTAACTTTTTTAAGCCGGGCTTTAATCATTGCGGGGGGATTCTTGCATTATGACTTCCGGGTAACAAAATGACCAATCAGCATTCAATTACGTACGCTGTGAGTGAGTGTACGTACATTTCGCGAGCAATGTTTTAAAACACATTTCCTGGTTACGGTTCATTATTATGCAAATTCTCGCGCCTGGCTAATCCCGCTAGTTTGAACGCCCGGCAAAGTTAAGCCGGGTTTAATTTTGAGCCAGGCTTAACTCAAACCTGCCTTATCTCCAAATCTGCCTTATCTCCAAATCTGAACGTAGCCTCTGTTCACTGACTCTTCTAGTATTTAGACTTCCAATACAGAGCCCTAATTTTGCTTTAACAAAAGCTGTCTGGGTTTTATAGAATTGTCTGGAACTTGTGTATAGTAGCCATGACCTTTCTTACCTTTACCATAATACACTTCTGATGAATGAATTGTGGGAATGATTCAGCAAAAATTAGATAGTTATCCATGACTAAACAAAATTCTTGAGATAAATTAACCTACTATACGAAGGAGATGCTTGACTTCACATACTGAATGGTCACCTAGTCCTATACCAGGGAGTTGTTATAACTCCCTGCCTATACTAAATCTTGAAATTTTCACACTGCCTGCTTCATTGGCTGAATCTTTCACATTCAAGGCGTTTTGAGCATTAAAGGCTGCAAAGGCATGATAAAAATATTAAGTTTCTTGGAAGTTATAATTTGTGTAATGTATTTTGTTTTTTTCTATTGGTACTTCATTCAAACTCTGATAAACAATACAGAGTCTTCCCTTCATAAATACACAAGTTGTTGGGAATTAATGTACTGGATTTATTTGATATGAACACTAGGATACACTTCTTTTTTTTCATAAGAACCAGTAAAATTTTGCTCAGACTCAGTGTTCTTATTTTTCAGCTGATTTCAGGCACAAAATGTTCTTAATTTGTTCTTATTTTACACACTTTTCAAATAGAAAATTATTATTGTACAGCAAAAATGGGCCCTGAAAAAAATGCCCTGGAAAAATTGACCCAGAAAAAAGGCCTGGTAAAAATGGCCCCAAATGGCAGTACACCTGATTATAGGGGTATTACATAGTTACACCTGCATTACTACACATAAGGTACAGATATAATTTTTTGGTTTTTCAAAAACCTCATTTCACATTTTAAATCAGCCTCAATTTGTTCTTACTTTGTTCATTAATTTTTAAGCAATTTCAGCCTCCAGTGTTCTTATAAAATGTGTTGTTATAAAAAAAAAAAGTGAGGTGAGTTCAAAAGTTCAAGTGAGGTTCTGGAGGTACTGTAATTAGGCAGTACACCATGACACTCCTTTTTCGAAGAGTGTATTCCGCCTTTTTTAACGTGCAAATAGGGGTCACATTGCACACAGGTTCAACGTATTTGAAGTCTTCTGAAAGATAGTGCACTTTTTTTTACTTATATTGCAGCCCTAGTCGCAGCTTAAACACAAGAATAACAGCGTACACAGTGGCTCCTAACTACCACTTTAGCCGACTGAGCTATGCTGTTATCTATGTATGATTACTGTTAATGATCGGAGTGTATCTTTGGATTAAGCACAGCTCTAGATAAGGCAACTACACACGAATAAGAAGTACTCCCAAGTAAAGTACATGCAAGCCAACCATTTTGATATTAAAGGGGAGAATTTGGCCACCGAGGGCCTGGCATGTGTGGAGGAGGGTGGTGGGGAGGGGTTGGGGTTGGGGTTTCCCAATACATGGGGGTCCAAGTGGTGTAACTCCCTGGAAGCTTTACTGTAGCTCATAAGGGAAATCTCATGATTCTTTAATACGCTTGGTTTTCACTGACCACACCTTAATTGTAATCATGATACAGTGTACATGAGGCCAGCATGACTTTGCAGCGCTCACATCCACATCTCTCGCACGACTCACGGAGAGGCTATGCTGTAGTGTCGCCGAGCAAAAATATTGAAAGATCTTAAATATTGAGGTTTTTCGTAGTATTTTATTGCAATAAAGAAGACATAATACAATTAAGATTAGTTACGCCTACAGTATGCAATATTCTTTGTAAACTGGGAGAGCATGTGAGAAAAAAAGGGAAAAAAATTGGTTGGGAGCCAGGTCACCAAAATTTTTTTTTTCAATAAGAGCTGCTCAAAAAATTACCCTCTTTAGAAAAGATTGTCTTTCAGTGTGTATTGCCCAATTTAACAATATAAAATCTTTATTTTTCCTTTAAATTATTAAATAAATAACTTAACGTTTATGGTTTTAAATTTGAAAAGCGCAAAAATAAAAAATTTCCTATGTGAGCGCTGTAAATATAAGTGTGCCAATGGTGTATGAACATGTGAAAAATGGAAAAAAGAAAAGTAATCTTATTTTTGTATATTGCAACTTAGCTTTCTTTAACAACATGCGATAACAGTACTCTCTATTTTTGAATTTTTGTCTATAAAATATATCTCTTCCACTTAGAAGCCTTTGGCAGAGTCATTTATTTATTTTTCTTCTACACTTTCCCTGAAGGTCTACAGTTTGCTAAACAAATTATAAATCACAGCATCATGCACAATAAACTGATGTACTGTATATCACAATGAGGCAAACAAAAGTCCATGAAAATCCTCTCTTAATACATGACCCTGACAGTATTGTATAGAGAACAAATCCAACTGGAACTGAACTGGAGTCACATTGAATGGTGTCTTTCTTCAATATGTACCACTCCCCTAATAATCCAACTGATCATATTTTTTTTTTCATTATTTAGGCAAACCGGGACAAGGAATATTAACAAACTTAAACACTGTCTTATTCAAGACAAACACAGACAAAATGCAGTACATAAGCTACTGTATACGCATCACCATGACAGTCTTAACTGCATACTTAGCTAAAATATAAAAATATAAGTTCCAAAATGGTGTAGAGCTTTTTTTTTTGGTTGAAAGAAAATAATCCTGCAACATAGACAGGAATTCAACCCAAGAACCCGGAATTAGAAGGCAGGCACTTTAAGTACTACAACTCCACTCCATAAAGCTAGATAGACAGGATAGCCCTTTAGATAGACCGTCACAATATTGGGTCAATCACGCTGGCTTGATTACTGGCCTAACCTTTCATACAGTGCCTTTGTTGTGAACAATTATATAACTCACGCTCGATCACTTTTAACTTTAACATTATCTACTTGAACATTGTAGTTTGGTATATGCTTCAAGGCACTGGCCGGCTTACCCTTCCAGACAGAGCAAGCAATAATATTGCTGCAATATTACTAGCAGGGTACTTGGTGGTCAAAAGTAAGCCAATGTATTGACACTGACCCTGTCAGATAGAAGCCCATGCCGGCGTGCTTACTGAATGCGGTATTTCAGCTGTGTCAGAAAGGGGCTTATTTTTTTATAATGACGCTTATTTCAAAGGCTATAGGCACAGTAATGTAACACTGTAACAACATAGTTCGTAAGTCTTCAGCTCGCAAAGTGAACACAATTCCATATTTTTAGCTTAATTGAAGGTAAAATAATGAATATTACGGACATTTTCACTGTCACGTGTCGCTTACTGGAGCAACTTGGTGTATTTCACCATTCCATTAGTGTGGCATTATATGGACGCCAAAAGAGCAACATTCAACTTCTGCAGTAATATGCTGTAATACATACAATCAATAATTTTGTTGGATTCATACTTACTTTTTTGTGCATGATGATAGATCACAAGGCTTGACAGACTTCAGTGTGTATGGTCCTGTTAGTATTCCAAGCGGATCCATTTTTTTTACCACAGTATGTTGTCTGAAAAGAACAATTATTTAGCTATTAATAATATAGGTGAATTGTTATTTATTCCTCGGATTTAGGCCCAGTAATTTAAAACACAATGGTACCTTTTTGCATATGAATGCATGACTGAAGCCGGTAGATTTAGGAAGTGTTTATATTTAAATAACAGTTGTACTGGTTTTAATTATAGACATGGGGTATGCAATATACTAGTAGCGTATTATAATTATTCACACTACCAAACTTAGAATGGATTTAGGGTTAAAGAATGTGGGAAGGCAGGTGTAGGGTTGTGGCCATTTTGAGGGCCTATGCACTTTCCTTTATTTTTAAAGGTACGTTTTAATAATATTAAATTTCTTTAATTGAATAACTGATTAATATTATTAATCAATTTATAGGCGCAAATAAACAAGGTCTATAAAGCGCTATGTCCAAGTAAACAAATAGTGTATGGGGAATGTAAAGAAAAAGCAGACAACCGATGCAGGAGATTCAAAGATAAAAAAAAAACAAACAAAACCAGACTATCCTAAAAATTACTAAAAATGGAAAACCACAAATACAGACTAGTGCTGGAAATCAAAACCATTGCACTGTTTTCTTGCAAATATTGAGGCTAAGCCTACGAAAAAAAAAACAGAAGAAAGAAACAAGAAACAAGAAAAAAAATCACTTCATTGGAGAAAACAAGTGAACACAAAGACGCAAAAAGGCGAGTTTTAAGCTGCTTCTTTAATGTGGCCAACGAAGACTTGTGAATATAAACTGGTAGACCATTTCACTGTTTACAGTAGGGGCAGCAACACAAAAAAAATGACCTTCCTGGTGTTTGTAATTTTCAAGTAATAGGACCGTCTCATTATTATTTACGTAATGGGATTATCTTATATGTGTTTTAGACGTAGTAACAGTGAACACAGTCGTGTTTAAAATATTTCATGTACTCCTATATTCTGAATATTATTCTACAAACAATATTCGTAAGATTCTAAATAAAATGACTGTCTCATTATTTGTTTCTTTCCTACCAGGCAGGGTGCCAGAAATACAAAGTAATTTTAACGATATTCTGAATATAAATTTTTGTAAATAACACTTGTAAAGGTTTAAAATCATAATGACCGTCTTATAATTATCTTAAATCAAGTGAACGCTTTTTGTACTTTTTCACATTCTTATCTAGCCTGTGCCAGTGGAGTGTTGGCTCAACTTTTAGTGATGGTCTTAAACAGTGACGGATCTACGGCTATTCAAAAGGGAGGGCTGAGTTTCATACCTCCTTTGTGAGTCAGAGGAATTGATGATAATGTGAGGGGGATGCTATATTAGCTGGCTAAGTTTCAAGTTGGTGGGGGATGGGGAGGACCATTTTAGAAAACAAACTACAGTAGGCTTGTTGGGGAGGGGAGGCCCAGGGATTGAAAAGGTGTGCGACCATGAGACCAGCGGTTGGAGGAATTGACCTTTAACCCAGAGGCATTCTAAAAGGAAAAAAAAAACAATTTTTCATTTTTCCTTTTTTTTTTTTTACACATCACAATTCAATGCATAGTTAAATTTAATAATTTTGCTTGCTCCAAACCACAAACTGTTTCGCTATAATAGTGTAAACATTTAGTCCTAGTGGCATTAGATCAAGATAACTTTTATGGTCGGAGGCACAAAATTATTTTTTCCAGGCCTGGGCGACCCAGCTGTTTTGGGAGGGAGGGCTCCTCGCACACCCTTAGAAAACACAAACTACAGTAAGCCTAGACATACTGATATTCCAGGTTTTAACATATACATTTCGAAATAATAAACACACATATATGCAGGTAGCGGTTCGTCTGCAGTTATGATTCACTGGGTGAGTGTCATCTGCAATATTATACTATAAAAACACATGGAAATTTTTCTCATTCAAATAGTAAAAATTTCTTTTTGAAATGTTTGCAATTTTCAACCTAACCAATTTTTATCTCTAGTCTTATACTGTAGGTGAATTTATTTTGGTAGTTATTGTACATAGACCATCTGTTCTAGATAATAAAGGAAACAGGCAAATACAAGGAAATATACAAGGAAATCTCATTTGAAATTAATATCATCATCACTCTGAATGGTTGTGATAGAAAAGACAGAGCGTTTTGGTATATCAAAAGGGTTTGCCATATACAAGGCTGAGGTTTGGCCAAAACCATAGCAACCACATGATACAGCACCACACCACAATAAAGAAATCATTGTATTTTAGTCATAATACACCATTTTACTTAACCTTCCTTTAGATCAGGCTAAGACATCATCGTGACGTCCGGGTATGGTCACCGAGATTCGGTCACTCAACTATGGGAATGCCCGGTAAATTGAAAATGGATGAGAAATCACACATTTACGGTGTATATCGTGGTGACGCCAATAATACCTGCATTAAGTTGGCATTGCCTACATAATGACGATATGATGACATGGTCATGAAAATACTAAATCGAGCAAACGAGTAGCTTTCTCAACCTCATCTACCAAGCCAAGTCGTTTTCTAATCTTTGTCCATCGTCCTACCGGCCGCGTGATAAGCAGTCGGCCGCCAAACAATTAAGCCGTGCTTATATTAAGGCAGTAGGCCTACAAACAATGAGAAAGAAAATTTAAAAATTATACGAGGTTACTTACCTGATGTATAATTATAAGATAGGCTAACTGGAGGTGATAGTGTCCTACCTTGTACAAAGATCACAACTATTCATTACACAACTACTACCGGTGACCGGCAGGTAATACAAATAGCTGAAGATGAATGCCACCGCCCACAACTAACACGTTGACCAATCGAATGCACGCAAACATGTTATGCAAGCAAATCACTTACTTTTCGATTATTTTTAAGCACGAGGTATTATTCCAGTGCTATACGGTAACAGGTTTACAATAAATCACAGTTTAGGCTTACGCTTCCATTCAAAAGGTCAATCTAATTTTACAGTCAAATAGCATCACAATAACTGTAGGCAGGGAGTTGTTCTTTACTCCCTGCTGTAGGAGGAATACATGCATTTTCCAACACGTAGTAGGCCTAGGTAAACTGCATAATAAAACCGAAATCCGTCCACACTCACAAAACCAGGGGCCTGGATTTCCGGCTTAAGAGAAACGGGTATTTCCCATTTCTAATACAATGTCTGAAACCATGATCCTGCTAACTATTTTCTCTTTTAAAATATAAATGCCACTAAACTTTGAATGGAGAGGGAGGGGGAGGGGTATGGGGTAATATCTTATTGCTTTATTGTGTTTATTTGAAGAAGTTAGCTTTCGAATAAATATTGAAAAGAAATGAGAGGGGACCAAAGTCAGGTTTGTATGGCGAATTGACAATACAGTAATAATAAATAATCAATTTTCGGTACTCTATGTGACATTCTTCAATCTCAATTGATGATCTGTGAAGATTGTTCTGAGAAGAACCGTTTTAATTGTAATCCCTTCGGTTCTTACTCTAGCAGATGATTTATACAATATTCTATCTTATTATACCATCCAGTATTTACACCAGTAACGTTTCTACCAATCTGATTGAAAAACTGATTTTGTTTCGGTTTTTGTGGCTTGTGTAACTGGTAAGCAGTGGATTACGAGTCTTGAGATGTGTGTGTGTGGGGGTGGATGGGGGTGTTTCTTTGAAACCTACCGCGCTTTATAGTCGTACGGCACCATGCGAATAATTTAATGCCATTCAAATTCTATTTTTGGGTCATTAAAGTGCCATTTTCCCGTCCCTCTGTTTTGATGTAGTAAAAAATTTAAAATATTAAAGGAAGTTTTATTTTTATTGCGTTAATGCAATCTTGAACATATTTGTTAATGAAATAAGTTGTTAAATATTTTAAAAGTAATCAACATGCTGTTTATTTTTCAACAAAAAGCCTCCAAAGTCGTGCACTATGCATGTCCCGATTGGATTTCTTAAAAATTCCTAATGTCATAATTTGTAAAATAAATAACTTAAATAAATAACTGTATCACAAAAAGGTGAATACAATAGATGTCTTACAAATTTAAAATTAAAAATTACATCAATAGATCTAAAAATACTTAAAATTTGACTTTTTTAGACAAAAAAAGTTTGTCCCTGAATGTCATCATCTCCGTCACAATACTTTAAAATGCCATTATAGCTGTTAGCAAAATGACATAACAAGCTATGGATCAAACCATTTTGGTTGAAGGGGACCATATAGTAAGAAAAAATTCATTCTTGTATAGTTAAACCTCCTATAGCTGAAGAATTCATGCTTTTCTAATAACAACTAGGAAAGTACCTTTATTCAGCATCATCTCCGAACGCTTCAGAGTATGCTTTATTTATAATTTTTTTAGTAAAAAATAATTATATATACGATCAGAACTGTGTCATTTTCAAAGTAAACATGACATTCACCCTGTAACACACTGCATATGGCACTATATGATCTAACAAGTTTAATTCCTTATCTCCGTCACAGTCATCTCCATCACAATTTTACTGTGATGGAGATGACTTCTTGATGTTTTCTTTCCTCAAAAAAGAATATACAAGAACAATTATAATTGATCTGGTTTATGTTATTAGAAACCTTTTTGCTCAATGTTTATTTTTCTATATTTAAATAATATAATCTATCTTTTAAATTTACTAAGATTCACATTTATGAGTATATCATCATCTCCGTCACAACAAAGTGTGATGGAGAGGATTTCTTGATGTTTTCTTTTCTCAAAAACAGCTATAAAATAAAAATGGTAATTGATACGACTTATGTTGTTAGAAACTTGTTTGTTCAATGTGCATTATCCTATATTTAAATAATACAATATATCTTTTAAATTTACTAAGAATCACATCTATATGTATAGCATCATCTCCGTCACAAAAAGTGTTATGGAGATGATTCTTGCAATATTTGCTATGTTACAGCACTGAAAATTGAATGCTTAAATAAACGTTTAAAATGCCCTAATTATCGTGCCAAATGTTTATTATAGTTGTTTAAATACCGGGTTGGTGTCCGGCGGGGGATAGTTTTTACCATATTGTAGTTAAGTGAACATAGTTAAGGTCGATCTTGAAATTCCTGGCCCCGAAACCTTGACTCTGAAATACCGGGTTGGTATCCGGCGGGGGATAGTTTTTTACCATAAATTAAATTAAGAATTGTAAAGCGCCTAGAGGGATCTGTGATCTGTTAGGCGCTATATAAATACGGTATTATTATTATTATATGGCATAATGGTGACATGTGTATTAAAAGAATTACAAATGTTTAACTTTTTTTTTTCATGATTTCTAAACCTCTAAAAATGGCACATTAGCGAAGAATGACCCCTTTTAAGGTTTTTAAACTACGTTGTCATGAATTCCTACTTGACGTATTTCCGAGCGGTATAGAAATGACGAGGAATCCCTCTTTGACATATAAAATATAAACACAGCTCACAATGTTGTAAAACAACTCTCAAATAAACTTTTATTCTGTATAAACTCCAACAAGAATCCGGTATCAAAATAACACAACAACATTCACATAAACATGTGTTTCAAAAAGAGCTCCAGAAAGAAAAAACTGTCAGCTTATATACCCTAGCTGCACTATTCCAGAGCATTCAAGATCATTCTATATTGCCTAAATTCCTCATTGGTTACCTTACATTATAATTAACCAATTAGGCTTATTTGCCTCTATAGTACCAAAGATTCTAGAAGCTTCCATATATTACTCTTGGATTCTACATGGTGTCCTGTGTTCTTAAAATTACCAATGTGGTTTACACTGTTTCTTTGATCAATTAAATGTTATTCTAGAATGTTCTATGTATTAAATATGTTAAAGTAAGGCAAGGAATGGTAATTTATTACATACGTGTAATATCTTTTTTAGGATTTTTGTAGTAGACCTATGTGAGTTTGTTATATTTTGAAATATATTTTAAAATATATAGGGCCAGTTTGTAATTCATTCACAGAAAGTGGCGCCCAATTGCACCGGCCAACATGGTTTCAAATTCAGCTGGAGCAAATTCTATTGTTATATTTTGCATTTCATGCTATTTATATTGCCTAGAAATAATTCATTAATTAGATTAGAATTGATTCAGATAGAAGAAAAGATTGGTCAGAGGCGAATCCAGGGATATCCGAAAGTCAGGGACATTGGTCAGACCGATCGAGATAACACCACCCTATGTTGTCCGTGGCCATGCCCCGCGAACTTTTTGTTTTCTAGACGCCCAAAAAATAACACCTAAGGCATTTTGGGCGATACATTTTTTTTCTTTTTCTTTCTTTCTTCATTTTTTTTCTTTTTCTTTCTTTCTTCATTTTTTTTTAAATTTCAAAGTGGGGGGCGGATGCCATGGTTCCCGTTGGTGCATTGTGGAGCTACTGTATAATGTATGAATGACTTGGCATATTTTAATATCCGTTCTCGGTTTCAAAGAATCTTCACCATTGTACTTCGTACATATTTGCCGTGAATGTTATTATTATTTTGGTATGATGATGCAGCCATGGAGCTATACCAAACTATAATGTCCATATAGGAGAAAGGCTTGTCAGATTGATTATCCTATTATTCCGTTTAAAACGGAACTTGGGACTTCCCTCTCGAGTACTACAGACTTTTATGTTTGGTTGTAACAGGACCCTTGGATTTTCCAGCATCTTAACCACCAAATAATGTGTTCAAAAATCTACAGTAAATGTGGATGTAATTTCGGTTCAAAGGAATGTCTAAATCGACGTGGAGAAACAGTCTTATTCCGGACCAATCAATAGACTAAGAGTAGGCCTAGGCTTAATATTGGGCCATTTCATTATTTTTTATTGAACGAGACTAACATCAAATCTGGTAAATAACCCGACGTTTTAGTCTTTCTTATTTGCTGTTTCTATCAAAATGAGCATAATATTAGGCTATGAATTATGTAAAGTAAAATAATAAATTAATCTAAAATAATTGGAAACAATTCATCAGTCCTCCCTGGCAGAACCACAATCACCTACCCTACAAC